TTAATAACAAGAATACATTATTTTATAAATTGTGGTAGTTCCAAAAATTTTAGTCTATTTATGCTTAGAGGCAAGAATAAAATGGAATATGCATGCAATTCCCCCGTGTCTGTCACTAGGGGTCAGAATCCACCCAGTGGCAGTGAACTGAGTCTAAACAGTGAACATGAATCTGCAACCGCATGTCAGTGATGTATTTTGCTTAGAGATGGTTAAGAGTAACTGAGAAATACGTTTTCAAGGATTTAATACCACGATTAATAAGAATAGAAAATTGACCTAGGATCTTTGAAGCTTACTCAATTATATGAGTTTTAAAGATGATAGCTTGGTGGCTCGTACGATTTTAATCTTAGTATATCATCAGTTAGTCAGATTGGGAGATTTTTTCCCCCCTTACTTATAAAATATATAGCCTTAAAAAATAATCCCCTTTGGCACTTTGGACTGGAATTAGACAGAGTGTGTCTTCATGAGATTTGGTTATGTACACTGTTTAAAAAAAAGAATTTTGAAGCTCCACATTTTTGAGACAACCATAACAGACACCAGGTGGTAAGCTGTATTCTTAAAAGCAGTTGAAACTTTACACCACCTGGCCTACCAGAGCTCAAGGGAAGCATTTATACAATTCTTTCCATAGTTCTGCAGAAGCCTTATAAATTATTCTCAAACAGCTTCTTAAAGAAAATTTTCCCTTCAGAATCCTAAAACAAAATAAGATAAGGCCTAGGCTAATATATTTAATGCATACACTCCCTTTTCTCCCGAAGTGATTCTGAAGCACTTTTACCAAATTGAGCTCATGTGTAAAATGTGTGGAGGTCAAATGCGGTTGCTAACTAAAGGGAGATATGGATGCATTGCTGTAAAATGCACTCGGGTAGGTTTTGTATAGTGATCAAGAGTGTAGTTTGTGGAATTAGACTGCCTGCATTTAAATCACAGATAATCCTATTACTAAGTGTGTGACTTGGGCAAGTTATTTAATCCTTAGTGCTTGATTCTTTATAATGGAGAATTTTTTAAAGAATTAATATTTATATTATATATGACTTAGAACAGTGTCTGGGACAATATTATATGAGTAGTTGGTAATTTTATTAGAAAGTGTTTGGTAATACATTTGATTGCCAAGTGCCAAATGTGGTTGTTTTTATTGTTGTGTGTGTGTGTGTGTGTGATCTATAATCTCTCAAAATATATCAAGTGAAAGCGGCTAAGCACATGTAATAGTTAAAGGGGAAGTTGAGAGAATGGAACTGGTTGGGGGAGCATCCTAGGAGCTAAGGGGCTCAGAGGCTAAGCTTCCTTATGCTCTCCTGAGACCGGAGTGGAGCATGCCCTTTGCAGCCCTGCTGCCTGTCCAGTGAGGTGCTTACCTAGTCAAATGGCGACCTCTGGGAGCGGTCCCAAGTCTGACAAACACTAGGACGTCTGCTTCTGTGCAGCCTTGGACTTTGTAGGTGCACTGAGTTGCTACCCTTCTTCCCCCCAATTTTACGATTACCCAGGATCTTAGAATAGGATCTCATTTGGGAATTGACTATTTGCAAGTATAAATAATTAAATTATTATGATGTCTTGCTGGGATTGGGGTGGTGCCTATATCCCACTTAACTTCTATTCTTTTTAAGTAGAGGGGAAAATGGAAAGAAGGCAGACATGTGAAGACAGAGGCAGAGGTGAGGGTGACGTAGCTACAAGCCAGTGGATAACAAGGATAGCTAGAAACTACCAGAAGCACAGAGAGAGGAAATGAAAGATTCTTCCCTAGAGCCTTCATGCAGGGACATGGTCCTGCCGGAGCCAAAGCTCTCTAGTTGTAAGCTACAAAGTTTTGTTAATTCATTTTCCGGCAGCCTTAGGAAATGAATATAGACTTCCAGCCATGTATCTGGAGGGCAGTAGCATTCCAAGAAGGCACTAGGAGCCCTAGTGGCTGCAATGAAACCATTGTAAGTAAGCAGCTTTAAAGTCAACACTAACGTGTCTCCTGCCCCCACCTACTCTGTTGTATGTTTGAAATAGTCCTGCCCTCTCCCCACCCCCCCTTATTTAAAAAAGTCCATTGCTTGAGTGCTAGTCTTTGGAGTTTTTGTGTGTGTCATCCTGTACGTATTGCTAAAGGAACTGTGCTTACTCACATCCCTTAATCCTTTCAATTTTTTCGTATTTTTGTCACTGTGCACTTGCTGATCATCTACTGGAGAATGAAGTGTTCTGGACTTTTTTTTTTCCTGGAGCTAAAGGACAGGTAGGAGTAAGAGACATAAGCAAGTAAACAAGTGTGGGTAATTAGAGATGTGTTCAGTACTGTGAAGAAAAAAATTCTTTTTAAAAAGGTGCTTTGAAAGAGAGTAACTTTGGGATGTGAATTAGACAGAGCAGCGATCTCCGTCTAATTGGCTTAGAGAGAGCCCAGAAAAGTCAAGGAGCTGCAGGGAGAATAAAGCGGCAATGGGATGCCCCAGAGGAGCTCTGTTGGTGTAGTGGTTACTCATTGGGCTGCTAAAAGCAAGGTCGGTAGTTTGAAATCACTAGCCACCCCCTGGGAGAAAGATGGGGCTTTCTACTCCTGTAGACAGTTACAGCCTTTGAAACCCACAGGGCAGTACTTTCCTGTGCTCTAGCATCGCTATGAGTCTGGACCACCTCCACAGGGGCGAGTTCGGTTTGCATTGGGAGAGGCCCTAGTCCCTTCTCTGCCCACAGATGCTGATAATTTAACTTTAAAATGAAAAAGGGTGTGTCTTAACTAAGCTCTAGTTTTCTACATGTACTATGTAAGGATGGTGCTCCCGCCCCAAACCCTCGATTTAAGGAATTACTGATGTGATTGTGTGGAAAGCTGTGTACTTACCTGCCTCTGCTTGGGAAAGAGGAGTCAGTAGGTTATGTACAGGTAAATTAAGCCCTTGGCTACTATCTAAAAGATTGGTAGTTCAAACCCATTCAGAGGTACCTTGAAAGAAAGAACTGGAAATCTACTTCTCAAAGGTAACAGCTTTTAAAACTGTGTAGAACCAGTCTACACTGCAATATATGGGCTCACGATGTGTGGGGATCAACTTGACAACTGTTTAAGTGTGTCAGCAGTGAAGATGAAATAAGTGCAAAGAGATTGCTTTATTCTAAGCTTTGTGCATTTGCTAAATATTGAACGATATTTAATGCCAAATACTAAGGCTTGCTGCCTTAAAGCTTTTAATGATGTTAGTTTGACGAACCTTTGGAATGGTAGAAGGAAAGAAAAAATCTGTGACGATGTCTTCCATGCCAGAAACACATGCTCATTAGGCCACACCTTCAGTGGTTTCCAAGTGAGCGGTCCCGCCCTCCAGAGGGCCCCTGAACAAACAAGGGTGCTGCCAAGGCAGATACCTACACAGGATTAGGGGCCATAGTACAAAAGTTTTTCATCGCCATGGACTTGCTGAGTGTTTTGTTGTTTTTCCCCTGACAGGGGAGTTATTCAGACCAAGTAAGTTTGAGGACCTGTGAGCCAAGGGAAGTTAGAATTAGAATTATGAGGGAATAAAATAAAAGGCTAGGTAGTCAGTAGCTATCCCTATGTTACATGCTCTTATTTGTCACTAATTAATTCAGTGATTAAATGTGAACATGATGACTTTACTGATGAACATGAGAACTTCTCTCTCCATTTGACTAGTACTGGTACAAGTTTATTATCAGCTAAATAAATTTGCTACTGATGAATGTGGGAGCCTTGCTAAATCCCTTTGAGTTAAAGGTATATGAGGCGCAGGAAGCAGCTCAGAAAACAACTTTTCCAAACACCCTGAAGTTCTATCTTTAATTATTTGAAATCCACAGAAAGTTTTACAAAGTCTTTTTTTCATTTTATTTTATTTTATTTTTTTAATATTTTATTACGGGCTGTTATCCCAATCCATACACACATCAATTGTGTAAAGCGCATTTGTACATCGTTTCTCAAAACATTTTCTCTCCATTTAAACCCCCGACATCAGCTCCTCATTTTTCCCCTCCCTCCCCGCTCCCCCCTCCCGCATGAGCCCTTGATAGTTTACCAAGTCTTTATCTTTAATTATGTCAGAAAACTGCAAAAGGAAAAAAGTAATTAAAAAGGTAAACATGGTTGAAGTTTACCTCTTTCTTTAGAAGTGATTTTTTAAATATGAAATTTGTTTTTAAATATCTGTATTAAAAGCTAAAATGTCTTTGACTTTTCTCAGTCTCACGGGAAAGCCAGGCAGGAGATAGATGTTTAAAACCTGTAGAGCTTTCTGTCCAGGAAGGAGGGTTTCAAAACAAAATTAAACAAAACCACTTAGGCTCAAGCAGAAATGAATGACCTGTGTTCCTTCCATAGAAAGCCAGCAAAATAGGGATTTTTTTTTTCTATTTTGGGCAAAAAGGGGAAGCATTAGATTACATTATTTTTGCTTTATTTCTCAAGCTAAGTAATTATTTTAATTTTTGTGCTATATTATTTGTGATCCCTTTTAAAATTTGAAATGGATTTTGCATTTGGACAAGGATTTTCCTGATTATTTAATCATACTTAAATACTTTACTTGTGTAAATCCAACTGGAAAAGTTTTATTATTTTAGCAAAACATCATTCATGCTTCAAAGTTAAAAAAAATGCAATAAATTTCATGAGGGATGAAAGCTTATATTATAAATTATCTCCATTAGAGAAATAGATTCCGCCTTTGGGCTTCTGACTACACTGTGTGTTGCACTCCACCTCGTAAACGTGGCTGATGACACTGTGTGTTAAGAGTAGCATGCGTCATACTTTCTCATACCTAGGTCAACTGATTATACAATGCTGGTGTCCCTATTTTTAAAACCTACATACCATTACCAGAGATCTATATTGCCATAGCTTCTTGTTTCTTAGTTTAATAGTGAATGGGAAAGTAGTCCCCAAAACTACACTACAAATGCATGTCTAGTACAAGTTCATGGTACTTGATTATAAAATAACAATTTCATAAATTTTACAGAAAGCGCATGTTTCAGAAGAGATGGGTGAAATTTGATGGCCTTTACATTTCTTATTACAATAACGAGAAGGTAAGTGAATTTTATATTCTTCAAGAGTTATTTTAAGCATGTTTAATGCATTTTTGGAAACACACATTTTACTTAAGAAGAATAGTAGGTGGATTATCTACATGAAAAGAATTGAGTCTTGCTATAGTCTAATGTATCTTTGACTCATGTAGTACTTGGGGTTGCTTTTACTTCCATATCTCACAGTTACTTACAGAGGATCTTTTCTAAACCACATGAACTGCTGTACGCAATAAAATGGTGAATAAGACATTTCCTTTGTCCTAGAAAGCAATCAGGAACCCACACCACGTGACCCAGTGAGAAAAGGAGAGGTTTCTTTCTGATCTGGTAGGAGTTGTAGAAGGACTGGCAAGGCTTCTTCCTGGGACTTCATTTCCGTGGGTCATAAAGAAGGAAGAAGATTTGTACAGGTTTACACTGCAGAGAACAGGACCTCCTAAGCGACAGGGCAATGTGAGTCAGATGCCCACATGGCAAAGTGTGGCCCACGTGTGATGGAATTGACTCCATCTCTCTTACTGGAGAACCATGTGGAGGCTTGTGGAAGACCAAGCTGAGGAGGCGGGCTTGTAGTCAGTGACAATCTTGAGGATTTTATGCCAAGTGGTTGAGAACCTTCTTTAGGCAACGGAGTCGTGCTTGCTGCAGGCTATCGGATCAGAGCTGTACCATATCTCACATTTCATTAGACTTTTCTTCTTCTCTTAGTGTGCCCTTTTCTTCTTCTTAGTCTGAACATAAGGTTGAGAATTATAACAAATACGAACCCAGTTAAGATGCTTAGATTCCAAAAGTTCTGCCCCAAAGTTCCTTATAAAATGTTGACATTATCTTAGGTGACACTCAGAATTTAAGTGATCTGTTTAGAATCTTAAGAACAATTGCAGACTTTCTGCTTCACCTCTGCCTCCGTCTTGTAGCAAAGGACCTACCCCGCTGTATACAGACCTTCATGTTCCAGCAGAGAAGCCAGGGGGCAGAACCTTTACTCTTTAATTACTCCACTCATCGTGACCACACTGAAGCTTAATTACTTTTTCCATTGGAATTTTTATCTTAAAGGCTTACACATTTTAAGGAGGAATATGGATGGGGTGCTGGGCAAGAGTGGTGGTAAAACAATCTCCCTTTGACTTTGCAAGTGTTTCATTAAGTATGTTACGAAACCAAAACACATTATTAATAGTGAGTTGGTTTCGATTCATCACAACTCTTTTAAGAGTACAACGGCTCCACAGGAGTCCCCATGGCTATAAATTCTGCAGAAGCAGACTAGAACATCTTTTTTCCCCATGAAGCCACTGGTGGGTTTACATTGCCGACCTGGCAGTTAGCACCCACCGAAGTCTTAAACCACTGCACCACCACTGTCCCTTATATGGCTATCTAAGGGGCTGCTGCTCCTTCTCTTAGGAGATTTAGGGTACAAGATATAAAGACGTATAAACACCATCATAGTTCAAAGTCATCCAATCATCCTTGCAGATTGTCCCAATTCCGTATGTGTATGAAGTGACTGAAAATACCATGGCTTGAGTCAGGCAAGCCTTCGTCTCATTAGACATGTGATTTCTAAGGCTTGAAAGAGGCGTTTGGCCACAGCCTTACCCCACATAATACTTCGACTTCTTTGCTGCCTGTGGTTCTGAATACAATATGACCCTTTACAATCAAACTCTTCCTCAGTTATCATGAGGATGCTCATTAGTCCCTGGTGAAGATTTTTGTTTTATGTGAGGTTTCATCCATACTGGATGCTGTAGTCTTTGAACTTCATCAGCAAGTGTTTCATATTCTCTTCATGTTCAGCAAGCAAGATTTGTCTTCTGCATGTTGTAAGTTGTTGGTCTTCCTTCAGATCTGATGCTGCGCTTTTTCTTCATAGAGCCAAGCTTCTTAGACTCTTTGCTCAGCCTGGAGATTGAATAAGTGTGGATCAGGATACAACCATGTTGCATATCTTTCCTGATTTTAAATCACAGTATGCCCTTATTCTGCTCGAATGACTGCCTCTTGGCCTGTGTGTAGGTTCTGCCTGAACATAATAAAGTGCTCTTGAAGTTCCACACATTCCGATTTCTTGCAAAGTCAATAAAACATAGGTGAACATCTTTCTAGTATTCTTTGCTTTCAAGAGCCATGGGATATGAGCATGGTATTCTTTTTCCACACTATCTTTTGAAACCAACTTGAATTTATGGCATTGCTTGTCAATATACTGCTGGCATCCTTTTATAATATTATGGTTAAGGCAAGTTTTTTTGGTATTTTATAGTAATTGTTGAATAATTCTCTGATCATCTTTCTTTGGAATGGGCACACATGGTTGGTTGGCCAGATAATTGTCTTCCAAATCTCCTCCCACAGATGAGTGAGCACTTCCAACATTGCTTATGTTTGAGACATACTGATGGGTGTTTTGTCAGTTCAGGAGCCTGGTTTTTACCCAGCACCTTCGGAGCAGCTTAGACTCTTCCTTCAGTGCCATGGTTCTTGGTCATTTTGAAATGCTTTTGGAATAATGATGCTACACATTCTTTCCATTTTCTTTTGTTTTTTACCAATATTTTGACCATAGTCCTAAATATTACAACTCAAGACTGAAATTTTTCTTCAGTATTTCAGCTTGAGTAATACTGAGCATTATCATTTTTGGTTTTTTAACTCTAGGTATTTTCACACTTTGTATAAAACTTTGTCTTCCCAAGCATCCTTTTGAAATCCCTTCAGCTCTTTTATTTCATCATTTCTTACATTTACATTAGGTATTATACATTCAAAATCACATATCAGAATCTCTTCTTACATTCATTTTGATCTTTTCGTTTTTCCTTTTTTATGGCCTTTTGCTTTCTTAGCCATATTTTTAGTACATGAAGATTAGATGGTTATCTACTCTTAGCATACTCAGTTTAACACTTAAACATGTTCTTCTGAATATAGTTTACATTCTCAATTTTCTCCTGAACTAGAGATTTCCACTACTAATATTGGTAATATTTGTGACCCGAATAAATATAAATAGATTCTATTTTTACTTATTATTTCTCCACTGCTGCAGGGCCATTGAGTGTGCTTTTATGTTGAAAGGAACACACACTGCAACACCAGCACGGCCTTGTGCTATGGATAAAAGGCTGCCTTGGAGTCAGATCCAGACTCACAGCAGTCCCTTGAAGGCACAATGGGATCAGACCACAGTTCTGGTTTTCATTAGCTGACGTTCAGAAGTAGATCTCATTCTACCTAGTCTGTCCTAATCTGGAGGCGCCATTGAAAGCTGCCCAACATAAGAACTGCATGTATGCTTTCACCAGCGTTCATGATGGCTGTGCTGAGGCATGTTGCTTTGGAATTGAACCCACAACTTCCTCGTGGAAGGCAAGAGTTCTGCCACGGACCCACCACTGCTGTCAACAGTAGATTTAGAGAAGTGCTTATTGTTCGGTATTGTTTTATATCAATCCAGAATAAAGCATCAAACTTGTTTTCAGTTTGCTAGGTGGTTGGATAAATATTCTTAAAACACCACTTCTCTGCTTTCTCTGTCATTTCTTACTTGTTTGGGCCTTTGAGTATTGAGTGGGTACACAGTAGTCACTGCCTCTGATGGAATCTGACTGCTGGTGTTCTTTAGCACCCGGTGTACCTCAGTGGTTCCATTGACTTGAGGAAGAAAACTACTCACGGACAAAGTCAGGCTTTGATGCCACCGGGCTCTGGTGTTGGTGATAACTAGGATCCCTAGATAGGAGAGATAATTCTCAGACATGTCCAACTGGACTGGTTTTGAAAAGCTTCTCCTCTGTCTCTTCTCAAGTGCAGTGAAGGTGTGCATCTAACACATCCTTAGATATGGTGGCAATAAAAATGTCTTGGGGGCTCGCTTTCAACTTAGCTAAAAAGTCCAGATTAAAATCAGTTACATGATTTTAACATAAAACTTATTTCTTGCATTCATTTTATTATCTCCTGTCATTTCATCCTCCCCAATGATTTGTTTTGCTTGGGCCAAAATCAAAGCACTATGGTGGGATTTACCAGGAGGAGGTAGAGTTTCTGATGAAATCCTGCCGGCAAAAGGGATGGATCTGTGGATTTGGAGGACTGAATTTCAAGGCCAGTGAAAGAGAAGGCAGTGTTCTGACTCCAGGGTTAGTGGTGACACGGTCAGAGCACTTGGGTCTCTCAGCCTTGACATGTGCACTCGAGAGCTCTGTGGTTGGGTAGAGGGAATGCGCAGACTCATCTGCTCTCCTAGTCTCCTTCCATTTTCCTTAATGCTGCCCAATCATTTTTCGGCCGCGCCTTTTTCATTGTATCACAGACAACGGCTTCACCCCAACAGCCTTGATATCTTATCACCTGCTAAGAAATATAACTCACCCTCTTTCTTACTCAGTATGGGTAGAATTGCCCTGTAGTCGTTTCCTTGTCTGAAAGTGGTAGATAAATGACAAACTTGACCTAGATATCTGTGCATTACAGGCTCCGGGGATGCTTTAAGATTTCTTTCCTTAAGAAAAATTTCATACTTTGAAAAATGCAGTCATTTTGAGCCTGTTGTCATTTGAGATTTTTTTTTCTCTTTGAAATGCCTCTGTCTTGTGATGTTATGAGAGAAATGTGAAATGAACTCGCCGGTCTTTAAAATGGAAAGATTTAGCTTGCAGTTTCATAAATGAATTTGTTAGAGGTACTTCCTGAGGTTAAAGGGACATCTTGTTTCACTTGTGAAGTGCACTTAATTCCGTCTGGAGGATGTGTCTATGATTCTTCTGAAGTACTTTCCTATTTAACATCATAACATTATTGACATCTAGGTGAGCGCATTGTTTTTAAGGGTTGTTTTATTATCTTTTTTTAAAAGAGCTTGATGGAGGAAAATTGCTTCTCCTTAATATGCCGCCTAATTTTTATCCACTGAAATATGTTACTTGGATAATTCTTTATCCAAGAAATACATATTTCTATCCCTGATAATTTATTCATATAAA